ACATATGGTACCTGGCATAGGATGAGAGGCCTGAGAAGAATGCAGATTGTTAGATGTCTTGCTCGGGGGTTCCCCTGTCGTCTGTTCTGCATCGTAAGGACGCTTATTAATCGCCGCCGTTCTTGTCCAGAGGTGTGTGGGGAGAGTTCACCTTTTTGTTGGTAGCGGAAGTGGGTTCAGCCGGATCTTGAGCGTTCAAAGAATGTAATGAGATGTCAGAAACTGATTCGTCCTCGATCTCTCCATCTGAGGGGAGGGGAGAGCGGGATCTGTTTAGATTGCTGCGTATGGTGTTTATGGGCGAATGGAAAGGCTGAGGGTCTCGATCCGAAGCCAAATCCTTTGTTTTCCGACTTTTGCGGTCCGCACTGGAATTCTTACTCTTCTTTCCCCTCCGAGCCATTTCAGGGGGATCCCGCAGGAACAATGATGCCGAGCTGCCCGCCACTTTTGGATTGTCTAACCTAAACGGTGATGAAGCTCTAGGTACTTCCGAGGCTTTGCTAACCTTTTCAAAAAAGGAATTAAAGTCTTTCAGCAAGACTAATGCAGGGTCTACAATAGAAGTCGTAGAGGTCGTAAGGTCTTAAGTCGTAGAAAATTGACCAATCACAGTTGATTATTCTTCTCATATTCGACTGTGATTGGTCAATTTTCTACGACTTAAGACCCTACGACTGCTACGACTTCTATTGTAGACCCCGCATTACAGTTGTTTAGACTATAAATATGGCCTTATATGTTATTACGGGTGCGTTCCACTTAACGTTCGCAATACTCGCGAGTATCGTTTCATCCTTCTTGTCATCAAATATTAAACAAGGATGAGATGATGGATGTAAGCGTTGCGAGCGTTAAATGGAATGCACCCTATATAACTCGTCTTAAATCTGATCCATAAATACAACGTTTAAGATTTATAATCTTTAATCTTTAACGAATTTTTAACAAAAACAAGAAAACTAAAAAAAATGGTTCTTGAAAGTAAACTGTACAGTTCTCGAAACTTATAATCAATGGGCGCGTTCAAGTTGACAAAGCGGCTAGCCTGCTCGCCAAGCAAATGATCATAATTGGTTGTTACTTATAGATCCAACCAATCATATTCAATCGCTCGGTAAGCATGCCTAGCCGCTTTGCCATCTTGAACTCGCCCATTTATAATCATTTTCAATAAATTTTAAAATGTAAATTAATGGTGTATTAACAATAACAATGTTAACGATAGTGTATCTCTTATTGATTTTAAAAATCTATTAGCTGTATAAATTTTTTCATCCATTCTTCAGTTTTTTGTTAATTGAATAAGAGTACAATATCAAATCATTAAATTATAAATACTGAGATTGTGTTTTAAACTCATTCGAGATATTTCAAAATTCGCTTCCATGGAGTACAAGACATGATACTTTATCCGATAAATTAGAGTCCTGTACGGTCGAAGCTAGATCTTAAAATGCTTAAATAATTTAATCTTGAATCACTAAATATGATATATATGTACTTGACATATATATTATACCACAATTGTAGTCTAACGAACTGTGCACCGAAATATTTCTGGACTAAACACAGTTAAACCACTGTAGTAATTTCGTGAGTTAAATTAAATTCTAATAACTTCGATGCTCAATCAGGCATCATATTTCAAAGATGTTAATATGCTGAAAAAATTGTAATTAAACATATTTTAATGATTGTTTTAATGATTGTTTAATGATTGTTTAAATTTACGATTGTTTTAATGATTGTTTAAATTTATGTGCATCTGGAACAGCTTTTCTTCTTCGAATAATATAATAGAAAAAAGATTTTCCAAAGTATCCTAAGTAAACTTTCCTAATAATAAAGATGCGAAATTGTGATTACTTAAATATTTAGCTTGTAAGTTTAGAGCAGTCTTTGTGCATAGTAATCCAGTTTGAAACGGTTTCCAAGTGTTACCTTCGACTGTGATTCCGGTAATTATTTCTATAAATTCCTGGAGAAAAGTAATGCTTTCGTTGTATGTATTCATATTATGATAGGACAATGCAAGCTTTTGATAACGACTTGTCATGAGTTTGAATCATTTATGCATAATAGAAATAAACCAGTAGTTGCATGCTTGTTATCAATATTTTTATGCATTATATGAAAAGTAATAGTTGCCGCAACACTATCATTTAATAATGCAACGCTTAAAGTCACATTCATAGTATCAAAATGAGACGGATTTAAAACGGTTTTTTTAAGATGTGGACATAACTTTGATGTACCTTTTTCATCTATCTTAAATACTTTACCCAAGGAGCACAATCTATATGGATAACAGTTATAGAAATGTTTATACGACTTTCTATAAAACTTTGTAACTTTTCTTACAACTGTTATGCAACTAAACAGTGCAGGCAATAACGTCGTTGAAACGTTTATGTCAACAAAGTGGGGAATCTATACGACTAATTTCTGACGTTATATTAACCACATTAAAACTTGTAATATACTACTGTTTTACAACAAACCGTTAATAGATATAAAATAACGTCTCAATGATTGTCTTAAATACCACGTACAAACGTTAATACAACTTTCTTCAATAATTATCAAAATTATTAAAATGATCAAAATTAAACATTTTTTTATTGTTATATTTTTGATATTCATTACGTTTAAGATGCCCCGAATATTTATACGCAAGTACATATTTATGAAAACGCATGTGGTTTCGACGGAGTTTGAACCTAAGACCTATGGGACGGGAATCTAACACGCTACGCTTGAGCTATAATCGCACGCTTGTCTCGACAGTTTGGAATTCAACTGTTATTCGACTCCTTGGTACCGAGCATATAATTTTTTCTCTTGTGCGGAAACGTGAAAAGTGAAAATTTATATATATAATATACATATATATAAATTTTCTCTAATATATATATATTAATAATAATATATACATCTCTAATCAGCATATAATATTAAAACAACATTTTTTAAACATTTATTCAATATTTTTACATTAAATACATTTTTTAAAAATATTTTTTAAATATTTTGCGTGCGTGCGTGCGTGCGTGTGTGTGTGTGGATCATTCTAAAGAGCCATATATATTTTTCATGAAAAAGCTCTTCGTCGTTAATAAGATTTTTCAAATCATCTTCACTTTCATCTTGGTCAGATATGGATTCAAGAACATAGCTTTCACATTGATCACTTTTAAAAGATGAATTTAGTGTTGATGATAACGGAGATAGTGGACTGTGATCGCCATAATTTAATTGTGTCTTTGATTTAAGATATGCAGTTTCTACATTATTTTCGCACGTTCTGCTTTTCTTTGTAGCTGCAGTTGTCTGCTGTTGCTTTAAATAATATTTTACTCTCCTGTAATAGCTACTACTATGCTTAAACACTTTTTTTCTTTCCATTTTATTTATTTAGATTTGACTCTATTAAAATTAATGAACGTATATACACAGATTAGTTATGATAATAAGACAGATTAATTATGATAATCATAACCTGCGACTTTACTTTATGAAGTTATATACATAACGTACATAAAGTTATAATGTACGTACCGTTTTATAAATATACACATTATTTCAACGCAACAACGTTTGTCTTTGCAGTTGTATAAATGTCCTAAAAACCTGATATTATGACTCAAAAGTTGAATTGAAATATACGGAGTTACATAAGCGTTTTAAAAACTTGTAATGAGTATTATAAGATTGTTAACATATAATAAGTCATATAGACGTTACAAAATCTTAAAATGAATACTACATAACGATTACTTTGTGTAGAGTCGTATGGACGTTATATAAATTTCTAATGAATATATACATATATTGACTAAATGTTATGTGTTTATATAGAGGGTTTTAAAAACTACAAATAGTTATATAACCGACATTAACTTTTTAGTCGTATAATTTTTCGATATGTAAATGGTACAAACGTTTTATGAAGTTATAAAAACTTTCTCATAACTTTGTGCTCCTTGGGTATAGATAGGTGTCATGCAAATTTCGTTGTGTAGTAAATTTTGTAACCAGTTTTTCATTTAAATAAAATTTATGTTTTCTTAACGAACATGCAATGTTTTTGTAAACATACACGGAATCTGGCATAATATACAATTTGTCTGTATCATTACATGGATGTTGAATGTAATTAGTGATCATACTAAATCTACCAGCTGTTCATCAATTTCCACCAACTCCTGTTTTGGGATCCTATATCGGAAATAACAGATATAATTTTTAATTCAATATCATGTGCCTTTTGAACAATTATTTTAATTTTATTACACATTTCTTGGCTACAAAATAAATTACCTATATACTTGTAGCCAATGGTTTGTTTCCACTTACATTAGTACAGATACCGCACAACATAAAAACGAGACTATGTGTAGCTAATCCTTTTGAACTGTCTAATCTACCCGACAATTTCATTGTGGGTCTACCTACAACTAAACCTATAGAATTATCGAATTGTACATCAGATTTTATAGACATCTCGTCTATTAAGAGTACCGCATGTTTCTCCTAAAGTTAATTAAATGCATATAACTGAAATTGAATTATATAAGAAACAATAAGTAAATAATTTAAATTAAAATATTTATTAAATATTAGTAAAATATTTGCCAAAAAAAAGAAACAAAACTTATACACATCATGTAAGTTACATATTATATGTTAATATTAACTTCTATTTTGAGCAATTTGAAAATGTCTTCAAAAATACCTGGTTTAAATTTAAAGCCTTGTATGCAATGTTGTAAGGTTCGAATACTTAGGTAGGGTAAATTTTATCGCAGTAACTCTTCATAACCCTTCTGTCCACGAGCCATGTAAAGCCTCAATGCTTTCATAACTGTGTTTGCAGACCATGCTTGTTTTTGTGTGATTTATACATAATACACTCTCTTTGATCTTCATTGAACATTTTTTTCAAATTTACATGTTTTGTTTGCAATCTTTTTCGCAAAATATTATATTGTTGTTTCTTCTTTTTCGAAACATTTACGTTTTTTAATTTTGTATGCATTGATTTTAACATTTTTCTCATTGCAAGATATGATGCAGTGTCTTTGAACATTCGTGATGTAATTGTTTCAGTACGTTTTCATACAATTGATGTTTTAAATTTATTATAATCATCGTTAGTATTGCAAATATCTCCTGTATCACATATTTGTGCGTTACGTTGGTATTCATCTGCAAATATTTATTTAATTCAAGTCAATTATATTATAGTAACACATGTAGCTACGAAAATGATTTAAGTCATCTGCATAGATTTCTTACATCTGAACATTATTATATATAAAACTTACAAGATTCTGTCGGATTTATCGTACATTCCTCTGTGATATGTGTCGTACATTTTTCTACAACAAATGTCGTAGATTCTTCTACAAAATTTATATATTCTTCCATGAAATTTGTTGTAGATTCTACAGGATCTGTCGTAAATTCTTCTGTACAAATTATACATTGTTCTAAAGGATTTATCAGAGGATCTTTTATGCTTTCCAATAAATTAGGTCTTGCAAATGGACGTAATTTTTTTTTCCCATCTTTCCGATCATTTTCGAATTGTTCTTTGCCAAAGTGTACCTGCAAAATTGCATTGATTTAATAATTATTAATACAATATATTATATAATGCAATATATAAGAGATGCTTTCCAGTAAAGACACAGTCAGACACAGGAATGAATTATTTTATCCTTCAACATAGGATAAACAACAAGGAACAACAAGGATGTAATAATTCGCTGTGTCCGACTGTGTTCTTGCTGGAAAACATTCAAGGTTTCATAAGATTATAATATTTACAACTCTCGTCATACTTCACAAATATCAGCTCTTTCTGGTAATTTAATTCTTCCGATTAATTCGAGCCATTCTTTTCTTCGTTCGCCTTTTGGCACGCGAAATAAACTATAACCTTTTACGGTACTGTTTTTGCACTTAAGCACACAACAACCTGGCATTATTAACTTTAATAACACGATACTGATAAACTGGAAAAAAACCTCGAAGAGGTTTTTATTGTGTTAATATTAACATATGTGATGATGAATTTATGCCTTCAATCTCGACTCTCGGTTGAAAATGTCTCGAAAATGTATGGTTAGGTTAGCTGCAAGTTCAATTGATCCTTCTTTTCTTCTTAATTTATGGCTCACGCCTCCAAACAGTAAATAGGAAGTCGATACGGCTAGGGCTCCTATTCTTTCTTCTTCTTCTTAATTAATGGCTCCTGCCTCCCAAAAGTCTCCGGAGGCAATACGGCCAGATCACGTCATGGGATTTTTCAAAGTCGAATATGCAATACAGTCATTCGGGAGTTTCGGCGCAATGTG